TAATTTCTCAACAAATTCACTTCTAGAACAAGAACGCTTTTAGACGAAACGGTTATTGCATCCACATGATGTTAATAATAACAGTATTCAAGGCAATAATATGAAATAGCCATCTATTTGTGGATGGATATCCGGTTCATAATGAAGAATCAATAGATATGCAAGCGTAATTTTGATGGTAGTGGTTCATTCAATATCCAGTATATATATCCAATATTGATAGTGCGAGCGTAGAAAACTGATAGTTTTGGATCTCTCGCGTCTAGTTCTTAGGGCTTGGTTTGAGTTGTTCGGTTCACTCCTACAGTGGATGAGGAAATCCCTCTATTTTCTTGCTTTTCGCCTCGGTGAGGTGGATGTTTTGTGGGTTAGCAATTTGTAGAGTGAATGGGGAGCCACGGGTTGCTGGGAAGGTTAGGGGACTGTCGTGACTTCTGACTGTGTAGGTACCTAAAAGAGGATAGTAAGATGGTTGTAAAAGAATGAAGAAGAAAAAAGAAAATAAGGGAAGACAAAAAGGAAAAGAAAGAAAGAAAAAGGAGGGGTGAAGAAGAGAAATAAAAGAGGGAAAAGTATGCGAGAATTGCCCGAATGGTAGCGTGGGTTTAATTCCCACAGAAGGACTAGTATGTAATGCGCGTGCATTAAGCAGTCAGATAGTGAGTGGTAGGTAGGATGGAAGTGGGGGTAAGCTAGTGAGGTTGGTGACTCCCTGAGTACGTCCGTGGTAGACCATGCCAGGTGACATAACTGTCTAAACGTCTCTTGAATGAGTCATCTGAGGGAGCTATGACGAAACGTCACGGTAAGACATTCCATAAAGCACATACTCAGGGAGAAAAAATTGAACCTGAATATGGTATTGGCTCTGTGGTGTGCTATCTTAATGGGGTTTTCTCGTGAAGACCGCTGAGTTCCAGGTAAAATTGATTTGTTTGCGTGGTCTTCCTGATAGGCGATCTTGTATGCCATAATAAGGTCACCCCTCTTCCTACGATAACCCAAGGTAAATAGGTTTAGGTGTTTAAGTCTTTCAGGATACGTCTTTCCCCTTAGCTCCATAACTGATTTTGTTGCGGTTCTTTGTATTTCTTCAAGGAGATTGGCGTCTCTCTTGAGTGTTAAGGCGGCCACCGTATTGAAGACCTCTAGATGCGGCCACACGTAGGATTTGGAAACGGCAAGGAAGAGTTCGGGAGTGGGGGCGCCAAGCTGTCTACGCAGAAAGTGTAGAATGGCGTTCGCCCTGGTTGTCAAACCTTTGTAGTTGGAGCTGGTGTTCAAGGTGTCGGAGAAGTTGAGCCCCAAATCTTTCTCCATCGACACTATGCTCAACATGTACTGGAAGTAAGTCGTACTTGCTTCATTGTTACTGATGTGCATTACTCAGCACTTTTCCGGTTTGAAGCTCGGGCCATTTTCCGACGACCAGAGTTCGAGTTGCTGCAAGTCCTTTTGTAGCGCTGTACAATCAGCTTCTTCGTTTACCACCCTCCAAATTTTTATGTCGTCAGCGAAGAGGAGGATGGGTGAGGATATTTTGTCTGGCAGATCGTTGACAAACAGAGGGTAAAAAAAAAATCTGTAACTCAAGCAAAGTACATCTGATGAATAGAAAGATGATGTACTTTTATGTATTGAAAATTCCATTCCCATATAATGTAACATTTTTCTCCTCTGCTTTGTTATTGACTTGAGAAATGGAGAGTTGAAAACAGTTTAAAAATGTGCAAGAATACATGATACGTTCAATGGACATATTTAAATTATTAAAACAAATTGAATAAAAAGAATTTGATGAAAAATGTCCAAGGGATAAATTTAGCAGCTCAAAGTTCAAGCAGGTCACCTAAATGTATCATCGTGATTACTCTTGTTCCAAACAGTTAACTCTTCCTCACTTCACATACATATAAACACAAATTTGTTATTAACTACTTCAAATCATATATAAATACAATTTCACTACTTTTGAAAATGAAATCATCCTACAGAGAGGTTTTCATCTCTGACAAACGTCTGAATGGAGATTGTTGACTGAATCAGCTTAAGATTAGCTCAAAGCATCCTTTATTCTTTATCATACTACTGGTAATATTTATAATATTTTGCTTACAGTACGCTAAGAATAACGGAAGATGTGAAACAATCAGACTTCCATCATCGCTTTAGACTAATCAATAAAAAGATATTTTTTATCCCTTACATAAGAAACTGTCAACTATATATATAAAACTTATTCATAAGAATTTATTCAAGGAATATATAGAGTTTATTGAAATCCAGTAAAAGTGTATTGAATGACTACTCCATAACAATTAAGAGGTGGGTAATTTACCTGATTCACCAGGGAATTCAGTTACCAGCTAAGAATACAATTAACTTTAGCATAGCACATCATATTTGAATGATTAACTTGGAGAATGATTCATTTATCTGTTAACTTATTAACGCAAATGAACAGAATATTGAGATACATTAGTTTTAAAAATCAATTCACCTAGGTTCATAGAAATATTTGAAGAAATAAGAATTGGTTCGTGCATGATATAGCACAACCTCTATCCAATTCCGTTATTGATTAACTGTTTTTTATGTCCAACGTGGTTGGCTCCATTTGTTACCACTTCTCATTGGAACCTCGGGAACCACCCTTCGAAGCTATTCACCAATGAGCACTAGATTAATTCGACGTAGAGGTTTGTGGGTATGCATTTATTGATTTTAGGTCAGTATTCATCATGGACTGACATCACTTGGAGAAAAATGATAGCATTAAAGAGCTGTTTCTTCTTATTATGGGACTCCTCAGCAGTACGCACCCGTGACCTAGTCAGGTATCAACCCAGCGGTAATACGTTGACCCCGAGACCTGAAGGTCACGGGTTTGAGCACTGGCGATTGGGGTCATAGGTGGGCCGTCTAGTGCTCCCAGGTTTCCGATGTTACTCCAACTAATTTAAGTTCATAGTGAATATCAACGTGAAATTAATAAATAAATCCCCACTAACCTTCAAACTGTGTATTCGTTGCGGATACAACAATTATTTTAACTAACCGATGGAATTCATCTGCATTTTAATTCGGCAATCGGAAAACATGAAAGTCATTTAATGAAAGCTTCAAACTCATACTTTTAAGCTTAAATGATAATGAGCGACCAGTTATATACGAAACGATGTTTGAAATAACATTATATCCTACTACTACTACAGTAGAAAATTTCTGCTTTTCTGCGGGTGAGAAAAGAAGTGTGCGGGTGGTTGATGCTTCCTAGCTGCCCACAACGTGAAAGGCTATTTCTTTGTAAGGTATATGACAAAGAAAAAGATAAGTTTGACCGCAGAGCCCATAGGACATTTTGAGGCCTATCATATACAGCCTTTTGTGGGTTTTTGTTTTGAGGTTTGTTTGTTCTAACACTAGACAGAGAAGAGGAAAACGGTCGGGATGAGTGTGTTATTTCTGGGGCACACCCTTTCTAACCCCCGTTCCAATTGGGAAGGGAGATTCAGCGTGGCACCGCTAGTCATCCAAGAGAAACACTTTACTGCTGTCTCACGCATCCAGCTAACAGCAGTACGACTTCACCGTCAGATCCCCGTTGTAGTGTAGTAACTTATGATAAAGCGGTGACTGCTTTTCATCTTACTACTATGCAATAGATCATTGTGGCATAGTAGAACCTCGAGAGAACAAGCATTCCAGCCAACATAGCTTGCTGCATCATTGTGATATGTAAACCCAACCACTATATCAAGATAGCAGCTATCGGCCTGGAGATAATACTTGAAAGCTGCTCCATATGTGGATCCTGTTAACTGTTGTAGAAGGATATCGGTGACTCAGTTATCTTTACAATTATTGTGTCATTAATACTTCGTCTACAACAAAAACAATATATAAATTCAGTAAAGTTAGCTTGTTTTGTTACATTTCTACCATCTGTGATTCTTAATTTACACTTTTTATAGATAACGAGGTGTATTTTACAGAGATTAAAAATGATAACTGTGTGCTACTATGAGTGATGATTGTCGTAACTGGACTGAAATGAAACGCTTGAAGTGTTTGTCCACTAGTCACTCCTCTTTGTAGTTTGCTTCTTCTTAGTATGTTACCACTCTGACTTTTAGTCAGAGTATATCACCATTAAACAATGTACGATTTTATCATATACTCTTTTAGTTTAGCAATCAGTTACTGATTAAATCTAAGGTATGAAGAACTTTTATCTCCGGTTATTATAAATTTTTGTCCAGTCAAAAAGTGATTGACTTTATAAAAAGATTTTGAAATCTGTCACCTCAAACTTTCGCCAGGCATAGGTTAGTCAACCAACAAATAAGTCTTAAGGAGATGTGAACAAAAGTAAAAAATAATTTATCCAATTTATCAGTCGACAAATTGCACCTGTATATAGTAACCAAAGCAACTGACACAAATTCATTACATGTGAAGATAAGTATAGAATAATACAATAACTTTGATGGTCAGCTTATTAACTTCTGAAATAACCAATCAGATTTCAATATTCTGGTTAGATAGGTAGTGTTTCACAAAATAGAGAAACGTTATTGGTTATCTCAGCAGTTATTAGGGAGTGACCTTTAAAGTCACTTAAACAACATAGGAATTCCTTTTAAAAGTATAATAAAGTCTTTTAAGTGGTTTAAGTGTGAACTACTTAAACTAACTAATGATTAGCATGAGATTTTTGTTCAGTGTTTGCGTTTATGCAGTTAGACTACTCCTTATACTCTGTGTACTTCTGGAATAACTGCCGGTATGCAGTTCAAACATATGGTAATAGTTCATACTGCAAACTTTGTTCAATTCTAAATAATTATACCTCATACTAACCAATGAATCCTTATCTGATATCATTTTGAAGATGTTTTTCATGTGAAATATTTACAAAATTTTTCAACTTTTTATTTATTTAAAATAATTACCAATAATTGAAAGTAATTGTGTGTTTTTTAAAATTTTTCTTAAAGAATTGAATATGATGATTTGTATGATGGAGAAATAATTTCACGTTTAGACTTTGCAATTTCACCAAAAGTTAATGAACCTTTATTAATGACATCGGAAGTTAACAACTTGGATAATTCACTTAATACCAATATTGAACAAAACAATGAAGAATTTAGATATGATAATGATAACTCTGTTGATGATTCTATTGTACATACGTTAACTGACAGAGGAGTTACAAGTTCAGTGAATAATCATACAACATTCAATTTATCTAAATCAGGATCTAAGTGAGTATCTTTTCATTTTGTATTATATTTCATTGAGATAGTTTCAACGTATACTATGCATGTCTAGCCACTGTCTACCTCAATGTATCATGCTAGTGTGGGAAGTTGGATTATATTGGGATAAGGTTTAGAGTGATCAGACCAAGATCGAGTTACCAATCGATGAAGTCTCTAACTGTTTATCTGAGTCATGAGGGGAGATAAAGGCTACCTGGCTAGGTTCCACAAGAAGAAAGAGATCAGTGGTTGAGTACTCTTGGTGACATGGCTGAAAATCGGTGACAATAGCGTAGATGTATTAACTCCTTGACAACTTGACATATCTGAAAGTTGTACGTTTACGGGTAGGATCAGAAAATCTGGTAGTTAGCCTCCTCTTATTTCATCCCATATAGTTCCTTCCTCAGATTTATGTATATTTGTAGACAACATAAAGAGCAAGGTGTTTATCTACTGTGGATTCCCTTAATGAACAGTTTATAACGTAAACTGAGACCTGGTTACTTGGCGAAAAAGTTCTTCTGAATAATATATTACCATTAGACTGTAGGTGAGGAGCAAGAAGAGAGGCATACGCCGGCTGGACCGATGAAAAGACCCTAGAAGATTTGGATTTCGCCGGTGACAATTTACGTCTAAAGTCGCTCAAACTCGAAGATGTACAGGCAAAAACCAACAAAATGACAGAAGAGGTGGCACAGACGGCACTTTAAGTGAACGTAGGGAAGACAAAGATGATGAAGATACCCAACGAACAATAGCATGAACAACAAGCACCAGTCACCTTGAACGGGAGTAACCTAAAGGAAGTAGTCTCTTTCACCTACCTAGGCAAGGCAACATCGTTTCAACTACGGGCGGCACAAATGAGGACGTCAAAGCCAGGATCGGAAAAGCAAGACAGGCCTTCATTAACTTGAAATCAGTGTAGAGATCAACTGCATTCAGCATAAAGCACAAGATCCGGATTTTCAACACTAATTTGGTCAAGTCAGTGCTTCTATATGGTTTAGAAACTTGGTGCGTTACGAAAAGCATTTCCAACAAACTACATACACATCACCAACAGCTGCAGCCTACGCTTGCTCGATACTGAAATCAGGTGCATGGTCAGAAAGAATAAGCAACAAATAATTGTGGCCTGGCAATGAACCAATCGACTAAGAACCTATCACCCAACAAATGTGTAAACACTGAGAAGACCATTCGGAGACATCACGCGCCAGGCCAGGCCCCCGAGTCGAACGCAGATGGGAAACAACGAGTAGAGCGTCGGAGGGTGACATGGAGATGGTGTGAGGAGGAAGTGGAAAGTTATGGGCAGTCGTGGAGCCAGGTTAAAATGACTGTAGAGAAGAGAGTGAAATGGCGATGTGCTACTGAATCCCTATGTTCCACTAGGAACCCAAAGTACAAATAATACTAATTAGACTGTAGAATTGAAAACCATTGGTTGTCCACGTCATAATCATTTATTATGATTTTCCTGTGAACCGAATTATTCTTATTCAGACTTTTACCACTGTTTTCTATGTTGATCAGACTTATTATTTGATTCATCTAGAGTGGTTATCAGTATTGATTGTTATTTTTTCTTCAAGGTGTCCTGGTGTTAGTAGCTGGTGTTGTCATTGTTCAATTTGTTAAATAAGGACAAATCTATCAATATTAATAGGGTGCAAAAACACTTTCCATCTCTTTCCTTCTTCTTCTTCTTCAGTTTAATGTGAACTTTTCATTTTATTGCTCATCTGACTAAAGAAGTTAACTATATTAAGCGATTGAATTGATTACATCAGTAAATTTGAAGGCTGAAAGTCAGTACTATTATACTAATTAATCTTATTTTGACCCATTTAATGAAACTCTGCTAGGAGCATCAAATTTTTATCAGATAAAGTTTTGTGTCTAAGGATGTGACACAATTGACTGTTTGAAGAACTTAGTCTTTAGTTGGAACTACTCTGTAGATTAGCTTAGCTAAACATTAATAATTGACAGAATACATTGCTGCTTAAGTCAGAAAACTTTTTGACTACTGGTTTGAGTTGCTTACGATAGTTTAGGTAGGTTCATTGTTTATTGTATTCAGGGTGACCCAGTTGAACGGTTGAAGGTATTACAAGTCGTGAATCAAAACAGCTGATAGTATTCATTCATTTGTATAATTGAGTGTATTATACCGTTATTCATTAGACTGAATTAATTGGTCTCTATTGGCATCCGCACAGGAGTCCATATGCCAATACAGACCAATCAATTCAGTTCAATCAACGACGGTATAATACAAGCACTTATATTAAAACTCTACCTATGGTACAAGAATCGGCTATAGTTGCTCGGTGATGTAGGAGATAACGCTTTGGCGTTTGAAGCGATTGCTCCCGAGTCCGAGTCATGGTACGAACTACATCACTCACTGGGAAGCAGGTACATGCAACTGACGAGTCCCAAATAGAAAGAAATGCGTATCCTGGACTCCACTGCTAGTCACTATCTATCATTACTATATAATATTCATCCATGTCATATATATGTTTCAATTTTAAAAATCTCCTTATATATCGTTACTTTCTTTTTCTAAAATATCCTTACAACATCTTACATTATTATTTTCAATGAACTCCCTTTCGCTTGTGTTGGGTATATCTTGGTTCACAGATATGAATTATGATAGTAGATCAGGCTAATAAGTGATTATGCTAAGCTATATCTTGTTGATGACTGACTGGAACTTTTCAATTTTCGTTTTGTTACTGTTTTTAAAGGCAGTATTTCGAAGTATCCAATAGAATTGCGTAAAATGAAAGGGAGATGATCACATAAAGGGAAAGTAAATATTTAAAACTGAGAAACTCATTTCAAAGGATTAAAACCCTCTTCAGTTAACAACATAAATGAAATGATAATAGAAATACACCAGCAAGATGACTGAAACAATGAAGCGTAAGAGAGAAACATTTATTGATGATATAGTTTGATTTCGATACCAGTTCATCACTTTGTCATCGAAAATTGAACCAAAATGTACTCAGCAATTTTGTACTCATTTGTACAGTAGACAGTGAGTCTAATCTATTGTATAAGGGCTAATGATATTGATTGACTATCAAAACCTCGGTAAACGAAGCGTGATTCCAACCCGTGTCCCATTAGTAGAAATTCATTTTCCTAAGTCAATAAGTCACACACTCAAAAATAATATGCTTGATGAATCTGTCAACTGATTTTCTGTATGGGATGGATGAACATCATCAACTTTTCTTCTGAAGTGTCTCACACGAGAACGATACACCTGTCTAGTACTCTCATGTTCTCAATGGTTATTCAATAGATGTCAGTTCGTGGTAAATACCAACCTAAAATCAATAAAATCTCCACAAACCCTTGAATCAAAATAGATAATCGATTTTCTGGACAATAATTTCATTTCTCAACATTCATTTAAGTATTGTACAAACAAAAAAGTAAGTCTGTCGTCTTGTCTTCTCACTAGTGTCTATAACAGTTACTTTTGTTTCAGTACAAATTCACCATTGAGAAATAGCCAATAATTTTTAATTTAACTGAACACATCAACCATATCATATCTTCTGAATCAAAAGTGTCATGTCAGACAATTTGATTACGTAACTGGAACTCCAAGCATAATTTATCACTTACAATATATAGTTTGCTTTCTTTACTCACTTGTTTCACAATATTTTTAAATAATAGTCGTTATTTGTCAATATTGGATAAAACACAGATGAAGACTTCAAGTCAGACAGCAGATAAACACTCCTCTAGTCTAGAAGTAGTATTCATCATGGACTGACATCAGTCGGGGAACCACTGAAGACCAGGGAGCACTTGACAGCTGTTTCATCCTAGTAAGCGACTCCTCAGCAGTACGCACCCGCCAAGGGATCGAACTCATCACCAGGTTTCACGGCGAAAGCGTTAGGCATTCAGCCACTGGGTCTGTTTGTAGTAGTTCACAATTTCCAACTTCTGATGTCAGTCCATGATGAATAATACTTCTAAATTTCAAAAAATCCCCATTCATCTCAAAAATACATTACTTTATAATGCTCATTAGTGACTTGCTTCCAGATGGATATCATGAAGCTCTGATGAGTAGCCGTGACCTGTGGGGTCAACCAGTCGGAAGTGAAGTGGATGCTAACTGAAGACCTTGGGTGATAGTTGCACTATATCGTGAGTTGACAGAAGTTGGAAATTGTGAACCACTGGAAACTGACAGAGTGGCTGAATGCTTAACGCGTTTGCCGTGAAACCTGAAGGTCATGAGTCCCATCCGTAGCCGGGTGGCGGGTGTGTACTGCTGAGGAGTCCCTTACTAGAACGAAACGCCTGTCCGGTGCTCCTAGATTTCCAGTCGTTCGCCAACTGATGTCAGTCCATGATGAATACTACCTCTAAATTAAAAAAAAATCCCCATTCATCTCAAAAATACACTACTCTTTGAATTGTCTACATGAAACAGTGTTATCTATATAAGCTTCCACTACAATCTGAGACTACTGATATTCTATAGTTTTCATTTGTTGTCTATGAATATAGTTAATAAGTAGAACTAGTAATATGAAAAAGTGAATAAAAACATGAGATTGGTATTTATTCTACTTTGAACAATCGAATGATGTTCACTTTAAATTACTTGTTCATTCAATGCAAAATATTTTCGAGGATATACATTAGCGCCTTGCTTAGAAAACAATTAGACTTTTCAATACATTGAATATTCCCATTCAGACATTTAGAAGCAAGACTGACTGAGCGAAGAAATATATTCCTTTTCAATTAGGTCTTCATCTTGGGCTCTACACCATTATGCATAGTTTAACAATTTAATCAAATTACCAATCATGTAAATAATCAATGGAGTTACTAAAATTGGGAATATGAATATTGATAGAAACAAGAAGGGGAAGAGGTGTACAAAATAAACCTAGAAGTTACATCCTGTTGACGGCCACGTTAATGAAAGTGGTCGA